CATCAACTTGCTGATCTACTCACAAAGAGTCTTGGACAAGGACAACACCATCTACTACTAAGCAATCTTGGAATGAAAAATATATTTCAACCATAAGCTTGAGGGGGAGTGTTAGCAAATGCAGAAATAACAAAGCTTATGTTAGTTAGAAGATTCCAAGAGTTAGTTACTAGCTGATGACATGGCAATAGTTAGTTACAAAGTTTGTTAGAGATATTTTGTATTCATTCATAGTAAGAGTAGTATATATAAGCATGTATGTACAGATTCACTGAATCAAGACATTAATACAATCTTCTTCCTTCTTCTTCTCTCAAATGCTCTGTGAATTCTCCAAGGCTTGATCTCCATTCATGGAGTTATCATAAAGGTGTATATGTTTGTAATTATTTTACTTTTATAGGATATTTACTTAGTTTCCCCTCAATAGTACAAAAATCGAATAAATCAAATTTATTTTGGTTTGATTGCGGTTAACATTTTCATAAAATCAAAATCCAAAAAACCAAATTTCTCAAATTGAACCGACCGAATGCCTACCTTATAAGTGTGGGAACTAGGAAGCAATGATTTTTCTTCAACCAATTTCGCTTGAACTGCAATATATTTGCATCAGAACTCATAACTAATCTCACCAATAACTTTACCAATCACTTACAGATTACACAATATTCATTCCTATCTCTCAATTCTTACATCAATCTTATTTTTTCCTATCAAGCTAGTTAGCGTTTTACGAGTTTCAGTTGAAAAATAATAATTGAATGCAATCTCTTCAGACGTCTTAATTTAATAAAAACAAATAGAGCATGACTTCTCTTACCTACGGAAAGAAGTCATTTTCTAAAGGGGAAAGAACACTTGTACTCCCCAAATACAAATATCATCATAATATATATATATATATCTATTCCAATGGTATGAAGGGGCAGTTAGGTAAATAGTTTAGGTTATAGGTATAATCAAGGTAAATTTATTGGATTGAGTCCAATTTAGGTAAATACTTTGTTTAAAGAGTTAAATTTGTGTAGTTTTCCTTTTCTAAAGTTCTACGCAGTAAATAGTTTAGGTTGTAGGTCTAATCAAGGTAAATATATTGGGTTGGATCCAATTTAGGTAAATACTTTTGCTTAAAGAGTCAAATTTGTGTAGTTTTCCCTTTTCTAAAGTTCTTAACTTAATATAACTTATTTTTAAGGGACTTTAAGTCAGGGGACGACAAATGGACTACGTTAAGAGATGAAAGTTGCAGGTCAATTCTCGATGATATCATTGTGTATAAAGGCAATTTTTATGCTGTTGATCTAGATGGCGAGACCATAAAATTTGATTACTCGCTTAATGAGACCAAGGTTGCACAATATGAGGGTTGCTGTTAGACGTATGAAGAAGAAACGACTTGTGGAATCAAGTGGTCAATTGTTTCTTGTTGATATGAGTTCATATGACTCTGATCCCAATAAAGTCGATAGGATTATAATATATTGGCTAGATAAACAAAAGCATGAGTGGACTCGTGTGTATAAATTGGTTGATCGTATTTTCTTTGTTGGTGACGACTGCTGTTTCTCAGTGCCGAGGGAATTGCATTTACTATACAAATGGATCTGCATATATTAACATGTTGCGGAAGTATGATCGTAAGTTTTGGGTTAATAACCGATATAGATATCATATACATCGTTTTGATGACTATCGTAGCATCAATAATTTTAGTCAAATATCTTTTGGCTATCCTATAGGTAGTCATTGTAGCGTGAGTTATTATAGAACATCAGGTGATATTAGTGCAGAACTGGTACATAAATATAAAGGATTACAGGGTCATAACACGGGTGTGCTTACTGCTGTTAAACCTGGTTATAAGCTTGGACCACTGTTATTCTACCTTGAATATGCAGATATTTTCTGGCCACCACCATCTTGGCTTAATCAGAAATCATACAGGAAGGTTCTCAAAAAAAGAAAAAAAGGAAGTTGCTGAGTCATGATTATTTTATTTACATACAAGGAAGAGGCAGAAGGATCAATTCATGAAGAGACATATCGATGCAGGTCCTACTCCAATTAATCTTTGTCATTTTACTTTAATTTATATTTGACTTCAATTTGATTCTTGTGTTACTACTGGCTTTGATTTGGTGGTAATCATTCTACTATGCACAGACCACAAGTGTCAATTTTTTACAAACATTTTAAAATGTATTTTTTCATTATATTGATATGGAAAAAAAAAATTGATTAATTTTTGAATATCTAAAATTATATTTTAAACTATCAAATATAATTTAATATATCTTTAAAAATTAGTCAAATTAACTCTCGAAAAATGTCACACAACTAAAAAGAAACTAAGGGAGTAAAATGAATAATTAATAGGCTAATAGCCCAAACTAATCTATTAACTGAGGGAGTAAAATGAATAATTAATAGGCTAATAGCCCAAACTAATCTATTAACTGAGGGAGTAAAATGAATAATTAATAGGCTAATAGCCCAAACTAATCTATTAACTGAGGGAGTAAAATGATATTGCCTTCGACCTAATGTCAAGCTTTCAAATTATCTTTTTTAACAAATATTTTTTTCAAAAAGTACTTTTCACTTGTGGTGAAAAATTAGTGTATCTATAACTAATTATTTTTTAAAATATATATATTTTTAAACAACAATTAGTATTTGATGATGAGCTTTTAAAAAATATGGATGTACAAATTTTAACCGATCAGGATAAGATTAATTTGATTAGTAAATGGATTATGAAGCAGCAAATTCTTATTTGGACCAAATATATATATATAAATTATAATTAAATATTAAAACTCTATGTACCAATAAATATCATACTGAATTAGATATATCATGATTGTTTCCATTAGGTAATTTTATCATTTTTAAGGCATAATATATAAATGTGTCATTCAATTTGTCCTCATTATACATTTATGTTTTGTCTATGCATAAATAGACACTTAAACTTGTATAAAGTTGAAAAAATAAAAGCATGAGTCCGACATGACATAATATACATAGATCACTACGATGCATCATGTGTGGAATACATGTGTTTATTCAACTTTATACAAATTTAAATGTCTTTGAAGGACATAAATGCAAGATGAGACCTATTTGTCTTTTTTTAAATAAAGCACAAACGTACCGCCTTTGGAGTGCACATAGAAATGAAATCTATACTCTATTGGCCAAACGTTTAATAGATTATTTCAAAAAATGTTTTTTCTAAAAATAGTTTTGAAAAAACAATTCACATAGAAAAAAAAAGGGCTAACCCATCGGTGGCCCCCTAAACTTGGCACCAACTTTCACTTAGGCACCTCAAGTGGGCGATGTTCATTTTAGACACCTCATGTAGGGTCTCGCTGTGTCATTTTGACACTTTTTGCTGACTAAGCACAGTACGTGTGCTACACGAATTTTGAGCGCGTCAGAGATTTTTTTTGTAAATATTCTGATTTTTTTTGTAAATATTTTCTTCTCCTTCTTCTTCCTTGCTTTCTCCCTTCCATCTTCCCCACCTTCTACCATCCTCCATCACCACACAACTTTTTTAAA